GCAGGGGCAGGGCCGGGCTACCAATGAGCTCTCAGGGAAGGAAGCCATGGAGCGCTGTGCAAACCTCGGGCCCGGTCTGATCCTGTTGGCTGAATGGAGGTGCTGCTCACCACAGATAAAGCGCAGAGGAGCCGAAGCCAGGCGGTCCGGCTCTGTCCCCGGAGCCTGGGGACCTTGGGAGCCGGCCTTGGGTACGGGAGCCTGTGGGACCACCCCGTGAAGGGGTCGCCCCGGCGACGCGACGGGGCGGAAGGGGTGCTGAGGGCTCCAAGGCAGCACCTCTTCCTGAAATCTCCTCTCTGAACCTCAGTTGCTGAAATCTCCTCTCTGAACCTCAGTTGCTCATCTGCACAATGGGTGCATCGCCCCAACGTTCCCAACAGGCGGTTGAAAAACAAATGAACACACCACAGATGCTAGCTGCTGAAGCCTTATGTCTGCTCGTTGTTACTGGTATCCATGGTGAATCAGTCCCCCCGCCCCCAAGCCGTCTGAAATGGGGAGGGGGCCGTGAACCAGACACCCCCCACGGGTCCCCTCCCCGAGCTCCCAAGGCCTCCCGCAGAGGCACTTCAGTCGAGAGCTGATCATCTGCGGGAGAAGTCCGCCCACCAGTATCTGAACAGCCGGCCCGGCAGCCGGGCCTGCACGTGAAGCAGAGCAGTCCCCACGGCGGCAGCCGGGCAGCGGTGGCCAGAGCCGCCTCCAGCGCCCTGTGGGCACCCCCTTGTGGGCACCCACCTTGACCACCCAGTGTGGCCTGGGGCATCGGCAGCCCACCCCCTCCCCTCCGCCCCCCAGCACCATCAGGCACACGGAGGTCCCTTGAAGCTCTGAGGCCCTCTGGGAGCTTCCTGTGGGACTCCATTGCCTGGCCACATCCTGGTGGAGACAGTACACTGTCCCCACGTTGGCTCCCTGCATGGGGACACGGAGCAGGGACCCGGGGCCAGGGATGCAGCTGGGCACTGCAGCCGGGGCCTCTGGTGTGCACAGGTGCGGGCGGGCCTGGCCCAGGACGAGCAGCCAGAGGGGAGACAGGCAGACGGAGGAGGGCTGGTGTAGAAGTAAAGTGGGGCCGTCCTGGAGGTCCTCGGAGCCCCGGAGCCGGCGGGGAGAGAAGGCCAGCCTGGGCTCTGACCCCAAGGGTCCTTCGGACGCAGGGTGTGGAGGCCACGCAGCCACCGTCCACAGTCCCAGACTCTGGGCCATTCCCCCATGGACACCACTCCCTCCACCCCAGGTCCAGCATTTGGGGGAGCGTGACTGGAGTGGTAAACTGCTGCTGATGGGAGCTAGGCCCGGGTCGGGCTTCGCCCATTCTCAGCCCGGGACTGGACGTGGATGCCCCTCTGCGGCTCTCGGAGGTCTCCAGTCCTCTCTGGGAGCAGAGCTGGGGACGCCTGTCATCTTCTGGTAGGCCTAGCTACGGGTGACTACCAACTTAGCGAGTGTGTGTATGTGTGTGTGTGTGTGTGTGTGTGAGAGTGTGTGTGTGAGTGTGTGTGTGTGTGGTGTGTGTGTGTGAGTGTGAGTGTGTGTGTGTGTGTGTGAGTGTATGTGTGTGTGAGTGTGTGTGGCCTGGGGGAGGGGCACAGACTGCCCCCTCTTTCTCCATGGCTGCCAGGCAGCTCTGGGCACGGTTTGTGTTTGAACCTAAGAGCAGGGTACCTTTTACCCAGTTCTTTGCTAAGCTCCACTCTGCACACCCGATTTCTTATCTGGACCATAATGACTCCATTGTCCAGAGGCTTTCACCACGAGCAGACACAGATCCTCTTGGCAAGAAAGAAACGCATTTTAGGTCCCCAGGGTTTTGAGTCTACAGCCCCCTCTGCTCCCCAGGTTGCCCTCAGAGGACGGGGCTGAGCCTTGTGGGAGAGGGGGGCAGGGAGGAGGAGCTGGGGGGAACAGGGTACCCGTGGCACCCAGGGCTCCCAGGCAGAGAAGGAGGGAGGCTCCTGGTCCTGTGGTACCCACCGCAGGAGGGTAGCCTGTTCACTTGGTAGGAGCTGGGGACCACCTTCCTCCACACCAGGCCCTTCTCATCCAGGGGCTGCTGGAGTACGAGGGGGGGGGCGGCAGGGAGCTGACAAAAGAGCGGAGACTGTCAAGCCAGACTCCAGCAGGCACCGTGCGGATCTGGCGCGGCGCTGGAATATTTGAGCCTTGCCGATGGATGTGATATAAAAATACAGCCAGCTGCCAGCACCACCAGGAAGGGCGGCTTCCTCCCCAGCCAGCACCAGGCCCCGGGCACCGTGCCCGCCGCGCCCCACCCCCGAAGCTGAGGTGAGGGGGAGGGTGGGCGGGCGCAGCGCCTGCCTCCCTGCCTTGCGCCCCTGTGCCCGCTGAGCCGGTGGGCGGGCGGCTCCCGCGATGGGAGGTGCAGCCCTTCCCCTCCTGCCTCCCGTTTCCACAGAGCTGGGAGAGGATATTTGGGTCCCCCCCCCGCCTGTTACAGGCTCACAACTGCCTCCAGCTAGTGGAGACGCGTGCTGTGAGCCCCTGGGAAGTTCAGCACGCCTGCCAGCCCCCAGCCCCGCGCCCCCGCACCCGGCCCCCGCACCCGGCCGGCCTCCTCCTCCTCCTGTCTGAACCCCCTGCCCGGAGTGGGATGCAGGGCACGTGAAGGGTCTCTCTCGTGTCCCCCCGAGGGTTCTGGGCCACCGCAGGGCCTCAGTTTCCACAATCACCAAGAATGCCCCCAACTCTGGTGTTGTAAAGAGAAGGGAGACGGCCCAAGGCTGGTACCTAAAGCTGAGAACTGCCGGGACAGAGTTGGGGGACAGAGCTGCCGGCCCCCAGCGGACAGGGGGTCCCGCTGGGCCCTGGTCATGCACTGGAGAAGCCGCCCGGCCAGTGGCTCCCCAGCCCGTGTGCAGGAGTGGGCAGGGCCCACGCCACCCAAAGCCACCAGGCCTTTCTGCAGCAGGAGCGGGGAGAATCTGAGCTTGTCTCTGTTTATCCAGCTGAGATTAGGAAAGAAAAAAGGGCAGCTTCCTGACAGTCCCTGAGAGCCGGGGCAGGATCCACCCTCACTGCTGTTAGGGTCCCTGCAGCTCAACACCTGCCCAAGCTGACCGGCGGCATTGGCCGACCTCCCAGGGGCGCGACTACAAGCCTGTCCCCTGGGTGGCCCTGCCCATCCCCCGGCTAGCGGGGCTGCCTTGAGCCAAGGGACTCAGGGCTCTGCAGCCTGACGCTGGCCTCTTTTCAGCCTCTTGCCCTGCACCAGCCCCCCCAACCCAGCAACCCTGCCAGGGTGGGTTCAACTCTCCAAGCCCCAGGAAATGTGTGGGTAATGACACGAGCACCAGGAGTAGGATTCCTACCAGAAAAGGCGTCCTGGGCTGGACTGGGGTCCTGAGATGGGGGAAGGGCTGTCTTCCCATCTGGCTGGCCATTTGCAGTTCATTCTGGATGGATGCCGGGTTCCAGGGGCTTCCCTGTAAGGGGTGGTAGCCGTCCAGATACCTCATCTTCTTGCAGCAGGGCCCTGCCATGGCCCCCCGACTGTGGGCAAGCAGGACCAGGCTGTCTGGCAGGACCTGGGCAGCTTCCAGAGACCCCGTTTACAGCTGGGAGCAAGGCCAAGCCAGCGACGCCCTGTCCAGTGGGCCCTCGGACGCGTGGTGCCCTCTGCTTTCCACGCCCCCGTCTGCGCCAGGACACAGCAGGCGAGCCGGTGCGTGCCGAGACGCAGGTGTACAGATGGGGAAAGGGGTCTTCCCCGAGGGGCAGTCCAGACCGGGAGCGGGCCTGCTCCTGTGCAGGACTCGGGGATGACAGGCAGGATAGAGAGCTGACCCTTTCCGGGCACACCCCTGGGCCGTGCCAGGCTCAGGCCCAGGAGAGACACATGCTGGGAGGCCCATAGGGAAAAGCCCAGGAGCTGGGGAGGGAAGGAGGCCCCTGGGGAGCCCAGACAAACCCCCTCACCCCCGTTAACCCACGAGCTGCTGGCATCTCCAACTGGGGCCTGGAGAGTCTGTGGGGTGCTGACCTCACGGGGTCCACACAGAAGCCCCTGGAGTGAGGGCCGAGGGGGATGTGCAGCCGCTTCCCGCACTCCTCGCTCTGGGTGGCCACCACCTTGGCTTTGGCTTAGAAATGATCACGACGGTTATCAAGCTCTCTCTCTCTGGCCCAGCATGGCGAGCCTGGCTCTGGAGGAGTGGATGAGGACCTGCCTGGTCAGCAAGCCTGGCTTGGTTGAGGAGAGCTCCACTTCCCGGGGCGAGCCCCAGCCTGCAACAGCCAGCCTACAGTGTCCCAGGTCTGCGGGACTGGCCCAAAGTTCTCCTGAGGCCTGGACTTAGAGCCCAGCCCCTCCCTGAAGTAGTGGACGTTCGAGGGGTGGAGGGTGCAAGGAGGCTGCGCCCCCCCATCCAAATTTGGACTCAGCTTGGGGCCTTCATTCCTTTGCTGCGTAGCTGCTTGCAGCACCAGCATCCTGAACACATATATACCTAAGTATATAGGATTCAGGGTTTGCTGTTTGTTTTTGTCTTTAGAAAAGCCCCTTCCTCACCTTAGGGGAGCGGCCCTCCCCCGCCCTCCCCCTCCATGCTTGGGGCTGGGCTTGGGGTGTCTCAACCCGGCCTTAAGGACAGCTGCACGCGCCTAGATTACAAAGGTTTATTTAGAAAATAGTTTGGTTGTGTTGGTTGTCCTTTTTTTTGGCAAACATTTAAATGCGCTCAGGAATCAGATTGTCAGCGGAGTGCCCTCTTAGCCCTCCACCCCCAGGCTTGGCCCCGGGTGGTGGGACTCAGCCCTTGTTCACACCGACACTGGGGTGTGTTTGGGGGGGGTTGCAGCCCTGGAGGCCATCCAGAACCCGCCGGGGGTCACACTCGGGCAGATCCCCTGTCCAGGCCCTCGCTGAGGTGGGAAGGCAGAGGGGCTCCCCTCTCTCCTCCCCCCTCCCTGGGGGCCGCTTCTGCCCCCCACCTCCCCCCCCTGCCGGGGCCCAGCCTGGTGCCCCGTGGTGGTGGTCACTGCCTGAAGCCCCTCGTGCGCCGTCGGAAGAGGATGTGCTTGAAGGAGCGGCGGAAGTCCTGGTTGAAGACGGTGTAGATGACCGGGTTGAGCGAGCTGTTGCAGTAGCCGATCCAGAAGAAGAACTTGAAGAGCGGGTCTGGCAGCTGGCAGGCCTCGCGGCAGATGCCGTACAGGCTGTAGCTGAAGAAGAAGGGGAACCAGCAGAGCACGAACACGCCCATGACCACGGCCAGCACCAGCGTGAAGCGCTTCTCGCGCGCCTGGGCCACCCTGCGGCGGCACACGCTGCTGCGCGCGCGGCGCCGGCGCGACAGGAAG